TGCTAAGCTCCACCATGCCTGTGCAGACTGGGGCTTCTTCCAGGTCAGTCGATCTACGGATCGAAACCGTGTGATCCATAGCTGCAACATAACAATCGTTGATGCTAACTAACAGTTGATAAATCACGGAGTTCCCGATCAAGTGATGGAGAAGATGAAGGCTGATATAGTAGAATTCTTTAAGCTTCCCTTGGAAGAGAAGAAGGCATTTGCGCGGTTGCCGAACAGCTTGGAAGGTTACGGCCAAGCCTTCGTCGTGTCTGACGACCAACAGCTGGACTGGGCGGACATGCTGACCCTCATAACTCGACCACTGCAGTCGAGGAACATCGATCTCTGGCCCGCTCAACCTCTCACTTTCAGGTTTATCTCGATTACTTGTGCTGTCATCTACTCAGCGGTTCAGCTACGTACGTACGTATATGACGTCCTTTGCTTCTGCTTCATGCTGTCAGAGACTCTCTCTCTTGCTACTCCATGGAGCTGAAGAGCGTGGCAGGAACTTTGCTGGAGGTGATGGCGAAGAATCTGGGGGTCGCACCGGAGGAGTTCTCTACTATATTTCAGGACCAAACGCAGGCAGTGAGGATCAACTATTATCCCCCATGTCCAAGAGCTGACGAGGTGTTGGGCCTCTCGCCACACACGGACGGCAGCGGCTTGACGTTGCTCCTACAGGTGAACGACGTTGAAGGACTCCAAATCAGGAAGGGAGGGAATTGGTTCCCGGTGAAGCAACTCCCCGGCGCTCTCATCGCTAACATCGGTGATATCATCGAGGTCATTAACTCGACTCAAACTAGCCAGAATCAACATATATCATTCAAGCGCGATACTAATTCAATTCAAAAATAAATTATGTTCATAAATTACGAGATTCTCTCAATATTTAGTAATGTAAAATTATTATTTTGATTTTTTTTCAATCTCTTCTTACATATAATATTTTCTAACAAAAACAAAAGATTTTTGGAATAGATATTGAGCAACGGTGTGTACAAAAGCATCGAGCATCGAACGATAATAAACGCCAAGGAGAAGCGCCTCTCGATCGCTACCTTTCATGGGCCAATAGAATATTCGGTGATTGGTCCTCTTGCAGAGATTGTGAAGGGGTGCAAGCCGAAGTACGTGTCGATGAGCTTTGGAAAATTCATGAAAGCTTACTTCTCCGCTGAACTGAAAGGGAAGAGGTTTATGAAAAACCTCAAGCTATAGAAGCCTCTAATGGTAGAAACTTTATGGTGTGTTGCTTGAACTTGATAATAAGTGTGTTTCGGTATCTACTTTATCGAAGCGTCAAATAAACATCTAGTATAATATTGTGTATATAAATCTTTGTATGTTTAAAGTGAGTTGACTTAGTGTTTGTTGAGTTATTCGGATTGGTTAATATATTGTTGCTTAAGTAATAAATCTGAATGTACATTATTTGATGTAATGACTTTTTTTTTAATAAATAGATTCATAAATTAATTTCTTTTTTCCCCAAAAAAGAAAGAAGCTAATAATGAAGTATAAGCATAATTTGGCTTGTGGCACTTATACTGAGTGCAATTTGAGTCTACAAAGCAATAATAATAATAATTAGATGATCATCTTCACAGTAATGTGAACATACCAAAATAAAAAGATCGTTCATCTATCAACCATTGATTTATTATTGGGTTACGAAGTTGCATCATTGTGATTCCCACATTGATGAGCCCAGTAACTTACATGGTTAAAATCTTATGAGCTTCGATCAACAGAAGTCCATACCCTCCTAAAATGATAAAAACCAAGGAGGGTCCATACCCTCCTAAAATGATAAAAATCACGGAGGGACTTGTTCTAAATATAGTTTTGCTAAAGACATGACAGTCTACTACGATCGTAATATCCTTGGTTTCATATTAGGTTGTTCTCTTAATTTCTTTAGTAACATCATCTTCCATCAAAACTTGGTCTGAGCTTAAATAAAGCTCAACTTGAAAAACACTCTAGCAGAAATAATTATTGATGACTTTGACACTCGTTGAATTTCTTGTTGATAGAGATGACATTGTTATTAATTTATAGAGTCCTCCTACCGTACTCTCTCTCTCTCTCTCTCTCTCTCTCTTGTGCTCAATCAAGAGAAGTGTGTAATTGATCCAAGTTGATGAATGACCAAACCCCTTGTACGATAAGAGATGATCTTTGTCATCGAAGGCAAGAGAAGAGAGAGATTCTTTCATCCAATATAATAGAAGGATCCATGACAAATATAGATATTTGAGAGATCCTCTCTCAAAAGCTTCCCTTGTGTGAGGTGATGGTTTCTCGTAATCATGAATTATGATATGTTAATCTTATCAGCAAACATGAAATAAAATGTGAAGTAAATATTTGAAGGTAAAAATATATTATATTTTAATATATAATATATTGATGATCAATCATTATTCGACACTTAATCAGATATCTAATCACCATATGGAGGTTGGTTTGATGGGAAAGGCCCATATCACCATTCGCTTGTTTGCACCCATTTGATAAGAGTCTAAGAGAGATCGATTGAGCTTGTCTCCCTCTTGTTGCCCATATGGACAAAATATAAAAGGAAATGTTGGGACAATTAGAGGCTACCCTTTCAATGGACTATATATAAAAGCTAACCCCTAGCACAATGTCGGAGTCTCTCTTTCTTGAAAAAAAAAAAACTCATATTCGTTAAATTCTCGACCATTAACTTGAGCATTATAGTGACCAAGTCAAAAAATTCTCTTTACATCAATCTTAATATAGATAATGCTTCGAAAGATAGACCCTCTACCTCGGAGTCCCATTGAACTTAGTTCAAAACTAAAGGTCCATAATTCTGCATTGCTAACTTAAAAAAAAAACTTTGTACTATTGCATCATCATTTCCATTTATCTATTTTTGAGGCCATCGATATTATGGGATTTATTATTCATTTTAATTTATTATTTTTATTTTTTAATTAATTTCTTCAATAGAAAAAAAATACTAAAAATTCTCTTATATATATATATATATATATATATATTATCCTCATAATTATCCATCATAAAAGATAAAAAGAATTAGTAAAATGATGGATACTACGGGAAAGGTTCTTCTTTCGGCTAGTTGATACACTATATAAATAGTATTGCATGATCATTTTCTTTCATAGTTGATAAGGAACACTTGCATTAGTGTGACCTTCATCTTTAAAAGTAACTATTTTTATGATTTCAATCATAATCTTCAATATGTAAAGGAATAATCTCATCCTCACAAATGATAAGAAATAAATAAATATCAGAGTAATTTTAACTGTTGAATTAAAATCAAACGATAAGAAGAGTGACTTTGATAACAATATTCTAACATGGAATATAAATAAATAAATAGATATCGGGCGTCACATCTAATACACCAAACCGATCCAATAAAAAAGGGGGGCATGTCGGCCCGATACTTGTCAAAGGGCCGAGCCGAAAATACGGCCCGATACTTGTCAAAGGGCCGAGCCGAAAATACGGCCCAATTCATGAGAGGTCAAAAGATAACTAGGGTCGGATCAGGATCCG